AGGAACATTTGTGATCTAGTTAAGGTTCTTAATTTTTTAAACTTGAACCATTCCAGAATTGGTAATTCAGACCTAACAAATCAAAATTGGAATTGAACTATGAGAGTTTAATTAGGATTGAATTGTGAATCGAACCATGAAAAATTTGTTTTTTTTTTTTTCAGTTTAGATATAGAAAATATACTTTCACTTACTTTTTAGATGTAAATTCATATAATCTAATTTTTAGATACAAGACAAGACTTACTTTTTGATATAAAATTTATTTTAGACGCATTAACTAGCAAAAACATATAAAATTTATATTTTTAAATATCATCAATTAAATATAAATATCCTGAATAAACCAAAATTTTTTTCTATTACACAAATTCAAATTTAAGAAAAAACATATGAAAAAATGTGTTTAACATATGAAAAATAAAGTAAAAAATATTAAAGAAAAATACAAGTGATTGAAATATAATTTATATTTTATACAAAATAAAATTTTGGTTTATTTTTCCCTTATATTTGTTGTAACAAAAAATAAAGAAAACAAAAGTAGGGCAATCTCTTAACATAAGACTATTATTAAGAATTCTATTTTTAATGACTCAAAAATATATATATAAGTTAATATTTTATTTATTTATTTATTTATTTTTGCTTAAACTGAATTAAAACCAAACCAGAACTGACATTAGAAGTAGGACCGAATCGAAACTGGCCTTGGCCTAGAATTGGCCTCGGCTTGGAACCGAAACCGTGACGAACTGGAATGATGAATTGGATTAGAGTTATGAAGGCCTAGAACCAAAACTAGACCGACATCCAAGATTCTAATCCTAGTTCATGCTTTTCTGAGATAGGAACCTAAGGTTCAGTTTAAGCTTGGACTGGTCATTGAATTGTGAATAGGTCCAATCTATAATTTTACATGTATCCATCTATATTTTAAAAAACAAACTTGTAAATTAACAAATACATGCTTATAAAATCATATTTATAAACTTGTAAAAACACAAATAAATACTTATAAACAAATAGATAGGTACTTGTAAAATTACATGTAGTGTTTATGAGTAGAAGGATATTTTGTGAAATCAAATTATTTTAAGTAGGTAAAAACTTTATTTCAAATCTTTTAGGTCGAAATTTTTGATTTTGACCCTCTAGGTTGATAATTTTTCTAAGCCAACCATATTAGTATGGGGTTTTGATAGTCGTTTAAGTGGATTAATTGTTTGGCAAAATGAACTCTAATTATAGCGGAGGATTCTCATTAAATGTAAAAACAACAATGTAAATATTAGAAATAACCAAGAAAGAAAAAAGAAACGGTGTTGATTGGTGATTAAGATAGTTAATTGTTTTGCAAAATGAACCCTATTTAAAAGATAATCATTAAATGCAAAAACAGCAATGCCAAAATTGGAAATAAATAAGAAGAAGAAATTGGTTTAGTAGTCAATTTGGGGTTAATTTTTTGCAAATTGAACTCTTATTGGAAGATTATTGTTGAATGCTAAAACAATAATGCATATGTTAGAAATAAATAAATAAATAAAAAGAAGAAGAAATGGGGTTCGGTAGCAGTTAAGTGGGTTAATTATTTTGCAAAATGAAAATTAACAAGAAGATTATCATTAAATGCAAAAACAACAATGCGAATATTAGAAATTTAAAAAAAAAAAAAGGAGAAATGGGGTTTAGTAGTCAGTTTAGTGGGTTAATTGTTTTGTAAAATGAACCCTAATTGGAAGATTATCATTAATTGCAAAAACAACAATGCTAATGTTAAAAATAAAACAAATAAAAAAATAAAAAAGAAATGGGGTCCGGTAGCTGGTTAAGTGGGTGAATTGTTTTGCAAAATAAACCCTAGTTGAGAGGTTATCATTGACTGCAAAAACAACAATTTAAATATTAGAAATAACAAAAAAAATGGATCCGGTAATTAAATGAACCCAAATTGAAAGATTGTAATTAAATGCAGAAGCAACAATGCAAATATTAGATAAAAAAAAAAGAAGAAGAAGAAGAAAAAATGTAGTTTGCTAGTCGGTTAAAGGGGTTAATTGTTCTGCAAGGTGAATCTTAGTAGGAAATTATCGTTAAATGCAAAAACAACAATGCTAATGCTAGAAATAGCAAAAAAAGGTGGTTCCATAGTCGGCTAAGTGGGTTAATTATTTTGTAAAATGAAACCTAATTGAAGAAGATTGTCGGCTAAGTGGGTTAATTATTTTGTAAAATGAAACCTAATTGGAGAAGATTATCGTTAAATACAAATACAAAAAAAAAAAAAAAGAAGAGGAAATTGGGTTCAATGCAAATATTATAAATAAAAAGAGGGAAGAAATATGGTTTAGTAGTTGGTTAAATGGGTTAATTGTTTTGTAAAGTGAATCCTAATAGGAATTATTATTAAATGCAAAAAAATGCAAATATTAGGAATAACAAAAAAAAAAAATTGGGATTCGGTAGTTGGCTAAGTGGGTTAATTGTTTTATAAAATGAACCCTAATTAGAAGATTATCATTAAATACAAAAACAACAATGCAAATGTTAGAAACAAATTTTTTTTTTAAAAAAAGAGGAAATAGGGTTCGGTAGTTGGTTAAGTGGGTTAGTTATTTTGCAAAATAAACCCTAATTAAAAGATTACCATTAAATGCAAAAACAACAATATAAAGGTTAGAAATAATATTGAGTGGGTTAATTGTTTTGCAAAACAAAATAATAATATAATTTTTTTAATTATAAAAAACATTAAAGAGTTTTAAAAAGAAGAAAAATTGATAGAATGGTTGATTGGGATCTGATATTGTTCATTCATAGTTAACAACTAGAAGAATTATTATAATATATTGTTTCTAAATCATCTATATGTCTAGAGAACTTAACAAGCCTTAGAATTTGATCTAATAAACCAAAACACAGGTACTAAATTATTTTTTTAATATTAATTCAGTTAATTATTTGGTTTGAACTCAATTGTAGAGTATGCTTTATGAATAAATCAAATTTGATTGAGGATTACCTTTAATATAATCACTAAATGAGGACTGCAAGTTATTTTTTTTTAATTGTGAATAATCTTAATTATTTAAATGCTAGAGTAATATGTGTGTATATATATATATATATATTATGCAAATGAATCTAAAAATGTAAAGTTTGCAAATTAGTGAATATCATTTCTCATCTGAAAAATTTAGATGTTTTTTAAAAACATTAATGCACTAGATTTCCCTTCCAAATAATCCAATTTCAAGTATATTTAGGTAAACAATTATGTATAATTAAGTAATAAATATTATATTTGGTTAGTATTAATTATGTGATAATGTGCTCAGAAATACAAAATAGATAAACATGATGAGTTGAACAATTATGGAAAGTAAGTAGGTAATTATTTCCTTGAAAATACAGTAAGATAAATCTAGACATACCTGTTATTGGAAAGGTGGATATTCCAATTAGACTCCACTTGTCCCTACTTATCAATATTTAGTCACCAAAATAGCAATATAATTTAAATTCCTAAATTGAGGCCTTCAATTCTTCCAATTCTAATATCTACCCCACTAAATAGAGACTACCCTTTGAATTATTACTTAATATCAACATAATCTTGTTATCTAAGGGAAATAAGATTTGTGTTTAAATCCTGAACTTGGTATACAACTTCTAGCAATTAACTCTAAAATCAAAAGTTTTTAATGTAATCCGCTTGCAATTATTACTGAGTATGCATTTAGGTTTAAGAAGTTTAATTTTTATAAAAATATATAATTAAAATTACTATTTGACATAAAAAAATTATTACTTTAAACTTTATTTCATTAAAAATTAATATTTTTTATTTAACTTGCCATGTTAATTTCATTAACAATAATTATAGGAATGGTGATCTTTGAAAGTATTTAAAAGATATTTTAAAGGCTTTTACTTTTTATGTAAAGTCACAATAATATATTTTTTTTCCTTTTGTAAATTGTAATAAAAGAAAAAACCCAAATCTTTATTAAATTTATTGGGTCTATTTATTTTGATTTATAAATTCATTTAAGGGGTAATTAATTTGTATCTCTAGCCTGGAATTTGATTGGGCTGTTTCTGTTCATACATGACAAGCTGTCTTTGTAGAAAAAACTCTATTTTTATATTTGAAATTGACTGTGTCACTATCTGCAGTTGCGAGCTTTATGAGGGTCAACTCGAGCAAATCGCTCGCGTACCTCAAGATTATGCACTCGCTACATTTGAGCTGCAATAATGGCACTTTCGTGAATTAGGCTCTTTTGTTTTACGTGTCACTAAAATGAAGCGAGTTTAAACCTCTGTACTTCCCCGCGGGTACATGAACTGTGTCTATTCTGGCGCGTCAGGCACTTCCCTCTTTTTGAAAGCATTAGTGGCATTTTCGTAATAACGCCAACCAATGAGGTTACTAACCCCCGTAAAAGGAAAAACGCTGGACTATAATTCTTCTTTTGGAAAATATGGATCCGCAATTACGAATCAGTTAAACATCGAACATCTCTCTTTACTCCGAACATATTGTCCGTCCATGTCAATGAGTTTGTCAATGATAACCGTCAATCTGTTGTCAAGAAATTAGACCTTTAATATATATGTTAAGGCCTCCATCTAATTTCAACCAATCGTACCCGTAGAAAATTTAATCTAACGGTCCTGGGCGTCCTAGGTAGCTTCAGGCTATTATTTTGGTATTTTTGTTTTTAGAAAATCAAAGACCCATGGCTTTGTGAACTCTTTCGAAATGAAGACCTAGCCTTCACTTTCTCTCTCCCCGTTGCTTACGGTAAAAAAAGAAAATTTAAATTCAAAAAATCGAAAATCACCCGAAAAATAGGCACATCGATTAGGGTTTCAAATCGAACTACCTCGCAGATTCAAACTCCCAAATCGACGCTCTCTGCGTTTGATCCCTGCGATTTCATGGATGCATAAGCGTTTCGGGTTAACTGATTGGGGTAAGTGCCTCGTGCATGGGTTATTGGCCTTGGCTGTCCTGGGTTTTGTCAATTTGTTGATTAAGTAACTTTATATTTTGTGTAATTGTGGCCTATTGGGTGGGAGCTTGAACATGTGGTTGTTATTTGAATTTTTGTTCATTTTTAATGTTTATTTATGGATTACAGATCTGTGAATTTGGGCATGAGTACTTATGATGGGATATGACAATTGGGGGTTTCTGTTTCTCGGGTTAAGTTTGAGGTATTGTTGATGGAAAATAGCGCAGGAAACTCTTTTGGTGCTGAAATTTCCGGGAAAAATAAATCATTAGATATTCAGAGTCTGTACAAATCTAGTGCCCCGAAGAAAAAGGGGAGTAAAAAGAGGAAGGGTGGTGCAGAGGATGATGGTGAGATTAGGAAGAAGAAGAGAAAGATTCGGAAAGAGGTGTCATTAAGTAGTTTGGAGGCAGTTGGCGAGAAAAGTAGGAATACTATAGATGAATCCTGTGGTGATGGGTTGAGTTTGGATTTGCCAGATTCAGGGGGATCAGATTCGACGTTGAGTCAGAAATTGGATGTAGGTAGTGGGTTGAACAGAATTTCGCACAATTTGGATAATAGCTCTAATGTTGTTAAAGTTCCTAAGCGACGCCGAGGTTTTGTGGGACGCAAGAAATGTGACAGAAAGGAAGTTTCTGGGCCACAGGGGCCATTTTCCAGCAGAATCAGTGGTTCTGGTAATCAGATTTCCAAGTTAAGCAGTGAATCTGGCAAATTGGAAGACGGTGCTGTTTCAAAGAGGTTGAAGCATCCTTCTGGTGGAGCGTCTCCTGGGAATCGTTTATCTAAATTAAAGGCTGATTCTACTGGTAAAATTGTTACTGCCAAGGTTAAGGGGAGCTGGGATATGATGACTTCAAGGAAAACAAGATTGCTAGAGCAGGTTCAGCTCATAAAGACAAGGTGGAAAATGGCCACCCTGTTGTAGGTAATGATGATGGATCTTCTAGAAAGCACCTTGGCATTCACAGCAAAAGTAAGGACTTGGCATCAGGCAGTGAAAGCCTTGGAAAGACAGTTGAGCATCTGGATGATAGTTTGATCAAGAAACATGATGATTTGAAGGACAAACAGATTGCTGTAGTGAGTGCAGCTCAGCATGACAAAGTAGAAGATGGTCATACAGTCCTAGATAATGGTGATATGTCTTCTTGGAAGCATCGGGGAACACGCAGGAAAAAGGACTCGGCTTCAGGCAGTGAAAGCCTTGGAAGGACAGTTGAGCCTCCGGATGATAGTTTGATCAAGAAACATGATGACCTGAAGGACAACCAGATTGCTCAAATAAGTTCATCTCATCATGACAAAGTCGAAGATGATCATCAAATTGTAGATAATGGTGATGTATCTTCAAGGAAGCACCGTGGAACTCGGAGGAGAAAGGACTTAGCATCAGGCAGTGAAAGACTTGGAAAGACAGTTGAGCCTCCAAGTGATGGTTTAATTAGGCAATATGATGATTCCCAAGATGAAGATGAGGAAAACCTTGAACAGAATGCAGCTAGGATGCTTTCTTCTCGATTTGATCCAAGCTGCACCAGGTCTTCAAAAAGTAGATCTTCTGGATCACCTAGTAGAAATGGGTTAACTTACTTTATGCCTTCTGATGAGGATTTTGTTAGTCGAGGGGTGAACTCATCTGCTGGCTTGGAGTCGGCATCTGGAGATACTGCTAGCAGAGTATTGCGACCCAGGAAAAGTTACAAAGAGAAAGGTCTGTTAAGGAAACGGCGGCATTTCTATGAGATTCTTTCCAGGGATGTCGATGCATACTGGGTATTGAACAGGCGAATTAAGGTGTTTTGGCCATTGGATGAGAGTTGGTATTATGGACTTGTCAATGATTATGATCCTGAAAGAAAGCTTCATCATATTAAGTATGATGATCGAGATGAAGAATGGGTGAACCTTCACAATGAGAGATTCAAACTCTTGCTTCTCCGCAGTGAATTTCATTCCAAGACAGATCCAGAAAAAGCTACCTTAAGCAATAATCATCAGGACAACGATTCAACTAAAGATGTTGATGATAGCCTGATAGGTAGCGGTATGGAATCAGAGCCTATCATCTCATGGTTAGCTCGTGCTTCTCGTCGGGTTGGCTCTTCTGCTCTTGGTGTTGCAAAAAGACCAAAAACATCCCATACATCAACAAATCATTTGCCGCATACATTGCCTACAAAGTCAGATGATGTGCACGGGTGTTCTGACATTGATTCTTCAGAGAGGAATACAAGGAATCAATCTTGTCATTCTGCATTGCTAGACAAATGCACTGATTCCAGCAGAGTGTTGGATAGCAATGGCACCCCAAAAGATGGAAAACTACCTGTTGTTTATTACAGGAGACGGTTTCGGAATAGACCCAAAATGTTGTCTGATATGCTTGAGAACAAAAATGTATGTGGGAGAGGAGCTGCCGCTTCTACCTCTTCTGCTCCCATTGTTCATTGCTCCCATACTTCTGGAGAATTTGATTTTTCTCTTGAAGCCATGGAACCTGAGGGCTTATTGTGGTCATTCGATAATTCAGGCTTGTTGAGATTGACTGTTCCTTTGGGGAAATTTAGACAATTCAGGTTTCTGTTGGGCTTCACTGTCCCTGTCTTCAGGTACAATTTTGGTTTAGATAACTCTTGGATGCTCCATGCTGTACTGCAGCTGCAATATGGTGCTGTTATAAATACATGGCCTAAGGTTCTTTTGGAGATGCTTTTTGTCGATGATATTTTTGGTTTGAGGTTTTTTTTATTCGAAGGCTGCTTGAAGCAGGCCATGGCCTTTGTTTTTATGGTCCTAAGAGTATTTTGTCAACCTGATGAACAGAGGAGCTATATTGATGTGCAAATGCCAGTAACTTCAATCAGGTTTAAAATATTTTGTGTTGAAGATCCTAGGAGGCAGCACACTTTTGCATTCTATGGCTTCTCCAAAGTGAAATACTCAAAGTGGTTGTACTTAGATGGTAAACTCCAGCGACAATGTTTGCTTACTAAGCAACTGCCTTTGTCAGAGTGCACATATGATAACATCAAGGCATTGGGAGGTGGTAGTAATCAGTCATCCACTAGTATGAGCTGCACGAAGCCAGCACTTGAGGTATTTCATTCTCTTTCATTTTGCCTTCTCCTTTTCCTCTTGGCAATTATTTGTTCATTTATTTATTTTTTGAGAACCTCCTACATTTACAAAACAAATATCAGAGAAAAAAGTTGATATTTAAGAAAAGTTTTCCATGGTTGGTTTCCCTTTCCCTCTACTTATGTACACCTTGTTTTGACTTCTATGGTCAGATTTCTCCTAATCTCTTTGTCTTTGTCCCCCTTTTACATTTTACATCATACCTATGAAATAAACTCTGAAACAAGATAATTTTATAGTTGCCTGTTCGCCCCTCCCCCCCCCCCCCCCCCCCCAAAACCAAAAAAAAAAAAAAAGTGGAATTTCGATCTGGGTTGTGCGACTCAATTCACGGTGCACTGTTGACCCAGATTGCTGGTTGCAGCATCCCGAATTCACTAATGTCCATTTTTGAATTTTTTGACTTAATCTGTTAGTATAAATCAGCAGGTAGCATTAATGGCTATGATTTTCTGGTATTAATTAGACTTCTTGAGTTTGACAGCAACTCAATCTGCCTAGAGTCCAGGGCTTATTAAGGAATACATTTATTACGAATTTATTTTCCAAAACAAAGACTGAAAATTAAAACCTTCCAATAGATATTTTCTTTTTAGGGAATATAAGATATTTTTAGCAATTATTAATAGATATTGTATCTCCCATTAAAGATTTATTAGACTTTCCTTCTTGAGTTTGACTACTCCTCTTTCTTTCTGAATTAAATATGTTTAGATTCTAATGTTTATTAAGGAATATATTTATTAAGTTCATTTTCCAAAACAAAGATGGACCCTGATTTCTTTTCAAAAATAGAGATTTATTAGTATCTTTTTCAGGGAATACAAGGGTCACAAGTCACGTTAATTCATGAAGAGATTTTCATTTATTAAGGATTATTTTTAAACAAAATACTCTGCAAACAAACATAGACTTTTAATTGTACTGACATATATATGAACACCCTATATTATAACTCCCGGGGTATCTTGTAGGGAGTTACGTGGCAAACTACATACTTTACCTATCCCCCATTCTATAGCATACTGTGATCCAGGTAACTATGTGTGTTTGCAGTAAACTCTAAAGCAAGATAAATTTAACCATGTAAGTTACACACTGTGTGTGTGTGTGTGTGTGTGTGTGTGTTTTATGGTAAGTAGTGAAATATGTTATATGCAGTCTATTAATACGTTAATGCTTTTGGTTCCTTCAGAGTTTACAGGAGAAGTCTATGCAGGATATTGTGCCCAAGGGGGCAATTGCTTTCCAGGAACCCTCTAGTGTAGTGATGAATCAGTGTTCTACCTCTGATGCAAGGCTTGGAAAGCTTCTACCTTTTTCTCTGTCTTTTGCTGCTGCACCTACTTTCTTCCACAGCTTGCATCTCAAGATACTTATGGAAAATTGTATTTCTTCCATCAGTCTTCAGGATAATGGCTCAATGTATGCACTTGACCATTCTGAAGCTGGAGGACATGCAATTTCTCATGGCTGCAGTCTAAGTCAAGAATGCTCTAAGGGTCTTTCAGATGTCACTCTTGAGGCTAATCCAAGAACCTCGTTGATGGAAAATAAATCTTCTGGATGGTCGCCGAGGGCCAAATCTCAGGTAGCGACAGAGACTATCTCAAAATGCATTGATTATCCTGAGACCAGCTCATCTCAGGATTTCCCAAATGGCAAGTTTAGCATGGATGGAAATCCTTTGAGCTCCAGAGACACTGGAGAAATGGCCAGTTCTGTAGTTACACAACCACAGAATTGGGGATGCAATCGCACAGATTCGAAACAATTTGTTGGGCTGTCCCAGCCTTCTACCAAAGATCAGGTTTTTGTGGATTTGCCTGACTCCAGTCATTATTCTGGTTTGACAGGTTTGAGTGTCAAAATTCCCTCAGTGGACCAAGTTGTAAGGCCTGCTTCTGGTAAAACATCTCTAGGGGCGCAAGGTGCCAATCTGGCTCAGAATATGACTGGCAGCAGTGTCTGTAGTCCCTACACCACTGGTCCTAGAAGTATGTGGCACCGCAACAACAATATCTCAACTTCTTCATCTGGAGATGTATTGCCGGGATGGCCTGATGGGAAGACAGATTTTATGTGCAGTGGTTTTGGCAATGGACCCAAGAAACCAAGAACCCAAGTTCAATACACTTTGCCTTTTGAAGGTTTTGATTTTAGCTCAAAGCAAAGAATAAATAACCAAAGAGGACTTCCTTTCAGACGCATTAGGAAATCTAGTGAGAAAAAGACAACATGTGCTTCTAAAAGTTCACAAAGAAATGTGGAGTTGTTGGCTTGTGATGCAAATGTTTTGATCACAATTGGGGATAAGGGATGGAGAGAGTGTGGAGCTCGTATTGTTTTAGAACTTGCAGATCATAATGAATGGAGACTTGCAGTGAAGCTTGCTGGGAATACAAAGTATTCCTATAAAGCGCATCAATTTCTGCAGACTGGTTCAACAAACCGTTTCACTCATGCTATGATGTGGAAAGGAGGAAAAGATTGGGCCCTGGAGTTTACTGATAGAAGTCAGTGGATGCTTTTCAAAGAGATGCATGAAGAGTGTTACAATAGGAATGCTCGTGCTGCTTCAGTTAAGAACATTCCTATTCCTGGAGTTCACCTTATAGAGGAATTTGATGATGCTGGAACAGAAGTTCCATTTCCTCGCAGCTTCTCCAAGTACATTCGGCAGGTTGAGACTGATGTTGATATGGCTATGAATCCATCACATGTTTTATATGACATAGACAGTGATGATGAGCAGTGGATTTCACAGTACCAAAAGTCTAAAAACAGTCATGAGAGTTGTGAAGAGATTTCTGAAGGATTTTTTGAGAAGATTATGGACAAGTTTGAAAAAGTAGCATATGTCCGGCAGTGTGATTTCTTTACAGCTGATGAAATTGAAGAGTTCATGGCTGGGTTAGGGCCTATAGAAGTGATTAAAGTCATCCATGAGCATTGGCGACTGAAGAGACAAAAAAAAGGGATGCCATTAATTCGTCATTTACAGGTAAGTTCAAAGTACTGATTATTACTTTTGATTGATGCAAAATTTTTTATTGTAATATAATTCAAATAAATATTACTGAATGTGAATGATTGATAATCCCTTCTGTTTTGGGCCTGTACTGATAATGACACCATTAAGCTATGACTCAGTTTTATTTGATATAGAATATATATATGGATAATAATAGTGTTATGCTGCAGACTTGTTTACTTGTTTACCTCTCTACTGGGTATTAAATTGCATAATATCATGTGTTTCCTGCATATCTGCTCAACTTATCTTTGCAGAAAACGTGTAGGTGATATTTTTTTTTTTTCAAGATATTGATAATATAATATATTGGAAAAATTCATACTTGGCCTGTAGTGTCCAATAGCATATGTTTTAAGCCCAATGCTCTTGTAATTTACAGCATTGAAAGAAATTCCTGCATATCTAACCATGCATCTATATACTCAATTCCATAACTTTAGTCATGCATCAGCAGTGTGCTTTGCCTTCCCCTCTTGTCCTCTTTTGCACAAGAATTTATGGATCAGGCTTGAAGGAAAAAGCATAAACTGCTGATACATTTTGTTAACTTCAATATCTTTTTCTCCTCCTCCTCTCTCTCTCTTTCTCTCTTTCTGTGGAAATTAATTCTAGAGCAAAGACTTAGTGATTGTTTGGCAGTGCAAGTTGATTTGGGCTTACAAGTTTATAAATCTTTTTAACGAGCCCTGGTATCAAGTGGCATGATTTTTTTGTCTTGTCTTCTGCTAGCCACCATTATGGGAAAGGTATGAACAGCAAGTGAAAGAGTGGGAGACCGAATCAAACAGTATGCTCTCAAATGGATGTCAGGAGAAGGCTCCACCTGTGGAAAAACCACCCATGTTTGCTTTTTGCTTGAAACCTCGGGGCTTGGAAGTACCAAACAAGGGTTCAAAACAAAGGTCACAGAGGAGATTTCCAGTTTCTAGTCATAGCCGTGGCATCCTGGTTGATCAGGATGTTCTTCATTCTTTTGGTAACTAATGCATATTTTCTTTTGCAACTACAACTAAACTGGAACAACTCTGTGCTTAAAAGTTGCACTTTTATTTGTTTTTATTGTACAGGGAGGAGATCAAATGGATTTGGTTTTGGAGATGAGGAAGTTGTGTTTCAGGGAAATGGCCATGAATCTTCAGATGCTTCCCCAGTTTTTCAGGCATCAGCTAGGGCATTCTCACCACGAGATGCCACTGGCTCTGGACATTTCTCATTGAGTGGTGATTGGTCTGAGTGGAATCATCGCCCAAAACTTTATAGGAACAAGTCTAGAAGGATGGGGACATTTCCCTCCCCCCGAAATGCACAGATGACAGCATCATACAATCAGAGAACAGGTTACAGGAATGGGGTTCATCAGTGGAATGTACGCATGCCTGAGTGGCCAAACCAGAAGACCTACCTACCTGAAGTATCTATGAGGCATGGCATTGAACAATTGGATGGTTCAGATATTGATGAGTTCAGATTGCGTGATGCATCTGGTGCAGCTCAGCATGCCCTTAACATGGCTAAGCTCAAGAGGGAAAAGGCTCAGAGGTTGCTCTATAGGGCAGATCTGGCTATTCACAAGGCTGTGGTTGCACTGATGAATGCTGAGGCTATCAAAGCTTCTCATGAGAAGTCGAATGGCAACGCATCAAATGATTCTGGATGAAATGGGATTTGACGAAATGGTTTTATTCAGCTCCTTTGGCTGGCAGATCTATTGCCAGAGAGCTTGTGAAGGTTTGGAGTCGACATTGGTCTTTTAGCTTTGTTCTGCTTGTCAACGATGGTGGTATATCATCATTATCTGTAGATCTGGAAGTGAACTTTTAATGTCATGGAAGAGCAGGGACTTTTGCTTCTGCTGTAGTTGATGATTCTCCAATGGACAAGGTGTCATCATCAAGGCGGTTTTGGTACATAATTCCCGGTTCTGCACACCTATTCTTTTTCCCAAGCAGCCTATTTTCTTGGAGCAAAACATCAAATGTGGAACTTGTGCTGGTAAGGGTGTGTGGAATTTTCGCTGTCGACCATTGTACAGATAATTTTTTTTCTCTTCACCTTTTTCCCTGTCTTGTCGCTTCTTTACCGCTTAACAGCAGCTTATGTGTTCGATACTGAAGGAGCAATTGGCCCAAATAATACCATACATCCAGTAGAAGTTGAAGTACAGTATCTTGATGTGTTTTGAAAATAGAGCTGTTGTTATGCATGCAAATCAGACCATTCTGTCATTAGATAGGAGAGGAAAGAAATGCTGTAAGTAGATGACAATATTAAATCTCAATCGGGATGATCAGTATTTTTGTTAGGATTGTTAATTAGATCCTGTAGCTTCTACCGAGTGGCTGAAGCACATGCTTAAGTATATGTTGAAATCCGGTTTAATGTGCATTATGCATGACATGCTCAAAGGTTTTGCTCCTGCATATATGTTGGGCAGGAACAGCAGCAATTGTCTCACAGTAACAAGGGAATTGTAATACCCAGGGCTGGTTTTGTAATGTTTCTACTCTTGGTTTCTTTATGTATACAAAACAATACAGAGTGAGAGTGGGAGAATGAGCATGGATAAGGAGTGGGGTGTAAGAGACCGGAGGCGGGTAAGGAGCCTGGATATTTCGTTTTTCGTTTTTGGTTTTTGGTTTTTCATTTTTTTCCCCACTAACAGATGTAAACATAAATTTTATGTTTACAAAAATCTTATAAATTTTGGCAACTGGACCCCAAGTTTCTGACTCTTCCTGCTGCCAACTCTTTTTATTCGATTCGCATCTCCCTTGTCACTCTTAAAGCATAAATGTAATCGAAATAAGCTCCAAATTATGTCTTGCACTTGGTCAGTATGTGATTGTGAAGTCCAATAATGTGCATTGCTGCTGTAAGCAGGCTTTACAATTCTAGTGGTGGGAGTAGTGCTGGTGAATGCTAATATTGATGGTGATCGATTTGTAGACTACTGGGTTATTAGCCAAGAAATGCCAGTGTAGATCAGTTATTCTTGTAGGTCATGTAACAATAGGACTGGTTGGCGGAGGGAGAAGTGGATCCTCTGGTCCACAATGAGTGTTATATTCTGTTCAGTAATGTATTATACTGACACTGAAGCTTTTTTAAGTGAGTGATCTCAACAAAGACAAAGTCAATTTGTTTCTTCCTAAAACAATTGGTAGAAATAATTCATATAAGAATTATATATTTTTTAAATTAAAAAAAAAAAAAACAAAGGGTAAAATTCCGAGCCGGAAGGTTTGGTAATTTTAAGGACCTCTAGGGTCAAAATACAAGTTAATTCTGTTTTTCGTCATTTTGCAAAAAATTCCTCAATTGAGGACTTTTTATTTCCCATTATATCCTTAGCCACTGTAGACTTCCTTTTCGCCTCGCATGGTTTGACTTGCGCCGTCGTCACTATCCCTAGTGGTGTAGCTTTTTTTCCACTATCGTTGCACGATTTGATCCTGTCAACATTGTTGGTGTTCCTAGAGTTATCTTCAATGGCAGCTACTACTTCTCCTGCTGCTATTAAATAGAAACCCTAGAGGAATAGATCGGCAATGGAGGAAGAAGAATGCCGCTACCGGAGGCCACTGGTCGGCCATCAACAAGAGTTGACCAATGTCGGTTGTGGAGAAGGATCGCCAAAGGCTTTGATTGCACAAAATGTCCCTTTATCACCATCTTCTGCTCTATTCACCAAGGTTATTTTACTTCTGCAATTCGTCTTCTGTGATTGCTGCTTCGCTTTTTCTTCCTTAGATTCTTCTTCCTCTGCCAATTTGTTTGCCTATCAGCCTTGAAAGAAAGGTAGCCATGGTGGCCAGATGGAGGAAGGACGCCAGATGAGCGAAGGGTAGAGTAGGAAATTAAATGTTCTTGGTGGGTTAAATTGTGGGAAAATTATTAAACCGGTCAACTTGGTAAATTTATTAACTAGAAGGACAATATTAAAAATATTGACCTACAAGTTTAAAAAAAAAAAAATTGTACCAAAAGATAATTTGATTTCTTAAATTACTCTTTCACACTTTTTTTTACACTCAAATTATAAATATGAATTTATAAAATTACATATATACTTTTGTAAATTATAAATATATTTCTGTAAAATAAACTACATTTTTAAAATTACATCAAGTTTTTCAGAAATATACTTATAATTTTATAGAAATATTATTGTAATTTTACAAATTCACACTTACAACAATTTAAATATACAATTTTATAAAAATATGTTTGTAATTTTATATATTTATATTTTTAATTTTATAAAAAAATATTTATAATTTTAGAAATTCATACTTGTAATTTTACTGATCAATAAGTTATAATTTATAAATATAATTTTCTAGAAACATGTCTATAATGTTACAGATTAATACTCTTAATTTTACAAATTCACACTTGCAACAATTTAAATATACAATTTTATAAAAATATGTTTGTAATTTTATATATTTATATTTGTAATTTTATAAAAAAATATTTATAATTTTAAAAATTCATACTTATAATTTTACTGATCAATAAGTTATAATTTATAAATATAATTTTCTAGAAACATGTCTATAATGTAACAGATTAATACTCATAATTTTATTAAAATATGTTTATAATTTTACAAATTTATACTTAATTTGTAAAAAATATAGAATAATATTTTAAAAAATTAAATTATCAATCAGTCTTTATTATTTTTAAAATCATAGGATAATATTTTTGATAATAAGCATTTAACTTGGATTGAGCGTAATGCATGATTTGGCTTAACTTGTCCAAAAAATTACTAAGGCGATGGGCTTGGTAATTTCCCCAAAAACAAACATGTTCTCCAAATATTTGTTCTAATACTTATTTTTTAATTACAAATTTATCACGTATTTTAGGGTAATTTGATTTTTCTTTTACCTTTTTTTAAATGTCAAAGAATTAGTTAACTATTTTACTTTTAAAAAATTCACACGCTGCCTGTGCCTTCACCCTGTAATAATTCTTCTCCCGTTTTCGAAACTTCCGCGGCACAACTGTGAGATCTTCGACCATAGACGGGCTAGTAAATGGAAAAAGAGCGACGGTAATTCCCTTTTTCGGGATTTAGCTAAACATCGAACATTTCTTAAAGTCACGGAAATCCAATCTGACCGTCCATCTATTAACAAGAATTCGACTTTTATTTCATGTTGTTGGGGCCCCAGATAATCTGAACGGATCTGGGCCGTAAAAATACGAATTCCACGGTCTTGATCATCCTAGGAGCTTCGCGCTCATTATTTTGGCCTTCTTTATTTTGTTTTTGAAAATCTAACCCCTAAAGCCTCGAGAACCCGACGGAAATGAAGCCCTAGCCTACCTTTGTACTCTCCTTATCCTACGGCAAAAATTTAAAAAGTCAAATTCAAAAATAAAAAATTCACCTGAAAAATAGACGCACCGATTGGGTTTTCAAATAGAACTTTTTCAGAGCCTTAAACTCTCGGTCGACGCTATCTGCGTTTGATCCCCACGATTCCGTTGATGCGTCGGTGTTTCATGTTATTTTATCGAGGCCTCGTGCATGTGTTGTTGGCCTTTGTTGTTCTAAATTTTGATTTATTTGTTGATGATCGCGACCCATTGGGATGCGAGACTATCCGTTGTTAATTTGACTTGCTGTTGATTTCGAGTGTCTATTTGTGGTTTACAGATCTGTAAATTTGGGGAGAGACTTATGATTGGACGTGGAAATTGAGGGTTTCTGTTTTTGGTGTTTAGTTTGAGGTCTTGTTGATGGAAAATAGCGCAGGAAAGTCATCTGGTGCTGAAATTTCCAGGAAAAACAGCTCATTGGATATTCACAGTCTGGACAAATCTAGCGTTCCGAAGAAAGAGAGAAATAACAAGAGGAAGAGTAGTGCAGAGGATGATGGTGAGATTAGGAAGAAGAGGAAGATTAAGAAAGAGGTGTCATTGAGTAGTTTTAAGCCTGGTGGCAAGAAAAGTAGGAACAACACAAATGAAGCTAATAGCGATGGGGGATGTTTGGATTTATCTAACTCAGAGCCAAAAATTGTATGTAGGTAGTGGGATTAATGGAATTGCACTACATTTGGAAGTTGGTAGTGATGCAGTAACATTTCTTAAGCGCCAAAGAGGTCTTGTGAGACAAAAGAAGTGCCATAGCAATCGTGCTTCCAGGCAATTAGGGTCATCTTCTAGTAGAATCAGAGATTCTGCTAGTCAAACATCTAAGTTTAAGTAGTGAATTCAATAGATCAGAGAACTGCATAGTTTCAAAGAGGTTGAGGCCTTCTAGTGGCCAAGAATCTTCTGCCGATCAGTTAACTAAATTAAATGCTGGTACAAAAGGTAAATTTGTTACTCTCATGGTTAAGAGGGAGTTGGGATATGATAAATTGAAGGACAAACGGTTTGCTAGAGTGAGCTTAGCTCGGCATGATCAAGTGGAAGATGATCACCCAGTTGTAGATAATGGTGATGTATCTTCCAAGAATCACTGTGTTACTCGCAGGAAAAAGAACTTGGAATCAGGCAGTAAAAGTCTTGGAAAGACAATTGAACCTTTGGCTGATGATTTGATCCAGCTATGCAAGGATTCCCACGATGAGGATGAGGAAAACCTTGAGCAGAATGTGGCCAGGATGCTTTCTTCTCGATTTGATCCAAGCT